TGAAAGCGTTGGCGCTCGACCTGCCAACAATAGTAGCCGAAGACTTCCTGCCGACAATTGCTCTACATATGCATCGAATTATGGAAATGGAGAACGAACTTTCAGAGAAGGCAATATTTAAATATTTTAATTTCCATTTGATACATACGTAAATTTACTGGTCAATGAGCTTTCTGAGGTATAGCTCAACGAAGAAAGGGGAGTTTCTGACACAACATAATCTGCCTGAGACAGCAAACTAAATTCTTCAAAATTTGTTAATAGGCTCTGCTCTTTTACCGCCTTTCACTTACTGCCAACCCTGGGCCAGTGACCCATTTTCAAGGCGTGACGTCCTGAATGTCGCGATAAGTGATAGTGGTGTAACATATGATAAAGTACACGAGTCTGAATGGAAGTCAGGTATCTGGCACATCCCAAAAAGGAGTTGATCAGCGCGGAAACCTCCATCATTCATTTTTTGAATGTGAAGTAAATTCAGCTATATTTGTGTCAGACTGATTGAAAACATGGTTTGGTTCGTTCAGGCTTATCCACGTTCACTAATTGAGTCGCACATTTGTGAAAGACTTACGGATTTGCATTTTTGTATGGGCAGTCGGAGGAATGAATTGGATTACTTGAGACAGGTATCTGTGTTGTTTATCCAAATCAACGTCTCTATTTACGCATTAATAAGTAGTAAATATTGTCTAGTAGATTCATGATGTTCAGATAGCGGATTTCTTGATAACGAAATTTGTTGACGACACACATTTGGCTGGTAGAGCGCATGACGATGACAGCCCGTCGAGAGTGACTGGAAATGGTCGAAACATGGTAAGTTTCGTATTATTTTTGTTTATTTGTATATAAGAAGGGCGGAAGTGGTGTAGTGGACAAGTGGCACGCTTACCACGCGAGCGGTCCGGGGATCAAATCCTGGGTCGTGAGTCGCCCGGGCCAACCAAGCCTTCCATCCCTCCGGGGTCGGTTAATTGGTACCAGACTTGTCTGGGAGGATAAAAACACTGACTTGTACATCGGCTGGCCCCCGCAAGTCATTGTATAGGCCACATCGCATTCAAACGCCACTACGAATGTACAAATGGAAGTAGAATGCGTGCCGCATCCCAAAAAGGGATTGATCAACGGCAAATGCTTTATCCTTTATCCTTTAATCAGTTTAGCTCCGCACACTACCGCGTGCATGACACGGAAGGGCTCCGTAAAGCTGGCCAGCCGGAGGAGCGTTAGGTTCTGCCGCTAAACAATAACTTTCTTCGTGAAATGCGTTAGCTGGCCTTCTACAGAATGCCCATTTTTAACCAACCGTCTGATACGCGCGGTGGAGTGCGGAGCTACAGTGGTGTCTGTAAACAGCCACCATGCATTGGATGTCAGGATGATTTAGCGGTCGAATAATATTGATGCCAATGATTTTGCAATAGAAATACCCATTATCGTATATCGCTAAACATCCATCATACATTCTTAGGGATTTTGGGAATATAGCGGTCGAACGGTATTTTATGTTGATGACAACAACGCAATGAGATGATTCTGAAGTGAAATGCGTTATCTAGAACCACGGTTTTAAGCGATCCATATGTTCCCACGTGATTATCGGCCCTTATCACCTCCTGTACCTCACCGTACATGTTCCCGTCGCACTCTGTACATCACTTCTTGGAACCAACGCCCCACTGCTGCTGGGACGCGCGCTATGAATTTCATGAAATTTGCATTTCAGCGCCTCTTATCAACCCTTATCAGCCCTTATCACTTCTTACCCCACCAAATATGTTCCCGTTCCCACGCTGTACATCACTTCTTGGAACCAACGCCCCACCATTTGTTTTTTGTCTGCTAGGACACGCTATGAAAATATCTGTTGAAATTGGCATTTTTGGGCGCTGCTATCAATATTATTCAGTCGGTTCTACTCTTATAAACCGCACCAAATACTGCTTGCCGTCCCAACCCCACCTAAGATGATTCTTGAACAACTGCGACAGAGCGTAGCAACCGTGATTCAATATGGAATCACACCGTCCCACGGGGCGAGTGCTTTGAGAAAGCTGGAATCTTAAGCGAAATGGTACAAAATTAGTGAATTGCACCTAGTCAGATGACGTAATATGCAAGGGATGTGAAACTTGAAAGAAAGCGCACCGTATGGGCGAGGTGATTCAACGCCCCGTCGCCATGCGGCTGCAAGTGTGATTTCACATAAGAATACGTTGGGTCTAGAAGTTGAGATGAAGTACTTCGTAGATTGACTTCTCGTATCAACTGCAATTGCAAGCTTTAGGATGCTTACATACTAAGCTATTTGTAAAGGTTGATCAATAGCTATAGTGCATCATTTTTCATCGATTTTCAGTCCGCCTGGCCTTCTCAGTCGGCAAGACATTTTCTGCGTGAATTGGTTGTGAATGCGATTCTCCTTCCATGTCTTGATCTGATCGCTGATCCAGACACGATTAATCACCATGCTTGAACTTCGCATTTATGCCAGAAAAGCGGAGGACGTGGGAGTGTTCCACAGCTTGTCGAAATAGCGTGAGTCACAAGGTTTTTCTGCAAGTGCAGTGCTCTTCACTATATTCCGTTTTCAGAGCCGGGATGTTAACTTTCTCACAAATTTCACTGAACCAACTTCGCAAGCTGTCCCGGATTCGCTACTACAGTTGAAATTGAGCGAGGTGACCCCTTTTTCTTGAATAGTTTTCTTTTTTTACTTGCTTCTTTGTTTATTTTGATTTTTTTTAGTTGCTGAGGATGCGAGGCAAGTTTCCATTTTTTCGTTATTGTATCTGCCAAGATCATCGCTGACCATACTTCATGAGCTGAGCTTTTTAGCGGAAGCTTCCCGTATTCATGACAGTATGCAAAGAAAGGTGATTTCTGTTGTTCTATGAAGATGACGTTAAGGGTTTTATTCGAGGCGTATCTTACGAAAAAAGCATCGTTCGATGCGAAAGTAGAAGTGGTAGAGGGTGCACCGGTCAAGTGGAATTCCGAGAAAAAATGGCTGTTCGTTGAGACCCCGGAGGACCTTGTATCGAGATAGGATCCTTGTCTTGCTAGTTCAGTTTCCGCTTTGAGAGGGATTCGGCCGTAGATCTTGCAATCGACGTGAACACATTGCTATAGCCTCTCCATCTCCTCCCGCCATAGACGGCGACCTTTCACCACCAACCAGTCACGCACGAGTCCTCCTACTTGGGGGCGGGTTTGTCAACGGCAGGTGGCCTCTTCCCGGGTAGAAGAAGCGCTACGTAGCGATAAGCATTTGACGCGGTAGACGCCTCTACACGCTTTCTAGGACACCCGCCGCCGAGATGAAGAAAAAATTATGAGAAACAGCCCAGAATTCAAAATGGGACCCCTTCCTTGCCCGTTGATTTCCGCATTGATGCGACTCTCATCGGTGCTGCCCTCTTCAACGCTAACGCTCTCTCTGAAACGGCTAGAGACCTGCGGCGAGTGGTTAGCCAGTCGGTGGGCGTGCCGCGCCGATAGCGCCGCGGGGAGGACTGCTAGATCGCTAAGGGCATATCCTTCGCTGCGAATTGCGTGTAGCTCCGCACTCAGGGGTTCGCATGTCATTCTGTTCTTCGACTTTCGAGCGTAGCGTGGAATTTCATTTTGATCTCTTTCTTAACATGCATTTATCGTGACATCATCCTTTGAAGGAAGATTTATGTTCACTACAGGCAACAAGCACTACAGTGGTGTTTCCATGAAGAGTTGTGGTCGTTTACCGCTGTGTTCCAAGCACAATGTCATGTCACGGTGTGGGAAACATGACGTAGTGGGGTGCCAATTGAATTTTTGGACTGGTGTACCTTTTAACCCGCAACTCCTAGTACCTTGAGTGGAATACCGAAACGAGTAGGACGCCGCTCTGATCATTCTCGCTTCTCACCATGTCGTGCTACCCCCAAAGCCTCTTCAGGTGTCCTTGCTTTTGTGACTGGTCCCTATTGGGGCACGGGCAGCGGATTCTCATCCCTTGATGTACGGGAGCCCTATTGACGCTCACATACTGTAGTAAGCAAGACGACCTTACTGTACCTGACGAACTTGGCATCCCTACAATCCACAAAGAGGATTGTAATAGGACTCTAAAAACCAACTTGTAGTTGTTATGTTTCTTGAGGTCGTTCTTCTAGACTGAATCGTCGGCTCAAATAGCTTATGATATCTGGCAGCTGTTTGGACAGTTCGTACATGACAGTGCTCCAGAACGAATTGAATTCGATGAGGAAATTGTTAGCGAGTTCAAAGCTGCAGTGGAGTGCAACAATCTGCTCCTGCTCGATAAGATCATTCGAAAAGGTAGTATTCATAATTCTGACTATTTTTAGATTCCCATAAATGGTGATTATTTTGTAAGCCACGTTCCGTACAAAGCTTTTTTTGGCTTGGAAAATCTCCATTTACTGGGCTGTAACTTCGATTTGAAGTCTTGCTTATTTCAGTCCTATCAAGTCGTCTATCAGCGAATGCAAAGTGATCACGTGGTCCCATTTTGTCCAATCCGATGCGTTTCTGGGGTGAATTTTCTTTATCCTAAGTGATTGAAATTTTGTTGCTGAACGTTCGTCAGTCATGGGAATATTCAGGTATTTGTGTGGTAGTCCACCAGTCTGCGTGAATGAGTTGATTGATCAGCGCTCTGTGCCAAGGAAGTCATCAGTGTCATCGGGCCCATTTTCATTGGCCCAGTTCAGGTGAGATATGTTGCCTAATCGTAAGCTATGATAAACATCTAACGATCCCACAAGACAACATTTAATCATTCAAATTATCTTCTTGAGTTAGTTTTTTAACGTAATAACTT